CTTTCTGCCAAGAATATGTATTACAAAATAATGAGATTTCCTTCTAGAATATAAATAATGTATAATCTGCATTTTTTCCTATTCTGCATTTTGATAGTGAATTTATTAGTGATATATTATTTGAAATTTGATCTTAACATTCATTGTGGATTCAAATTTAGCTAATATTCTTAAGATACCTACTGTGTCTTATATTAGCAAAGAACTTTTACCCATTTTGTCCATGGGTGCATCTATATTCAGTGAAAGCTAACAGTGTACTCTTTTCTTATTTCATTTTGGCATATTGTCAATGCTCATAAATATATGCATAGCCTCAAGCAGTATAACTTACCAAATAAGTATTGATAACGTGTCAGATGTTTGGTATAACAATGAATATTTCAACAGCTATCCCATAGATCTTTGAACAATTACGGAGGGTAAAATACCCAATATTGATCTACACATATATCTATACCTCACATATTGCTTTGTAGACACAGTTTAAAAAATGAGAAATTGGGTTTATAATATGAAAATACATAAGCCAAATAAATTGGTTTGTAAACTTTTTAGCGCATTAAATTATGGTATAACATATAAGTAGGTGATCAATGCTTATTGAATAAATGAGTAAAAATTTGCAACACAAATATAAAACTGAAAAGCTATATATAAAGTGAGGAGGCTTTTTGGTGATAAATAAATTTGCCTTTAGATTAAATTTATTTTCAATATTGATGTGTAAAACCCAAATTTTAAATACAGATTTCAAATATATCCCTAACATTGAGATAATAGACCTCATTCACATCGTGATAATACTATTTGTATATGTGTAAATGTAAAATATGAACTGATTTTTCACATTTTATATCTCTATGCTTCTAGTTCTGAATTACTACATATAAAAAATTTTTGAGATTTAAACCCTGATCATTCATGAGTTAAACGGATAAAACCACAATAGATTTTAAAACACTGTAGGCTCCATTGAACTCAAATCTTTACCCTAATATTAAGAGTAATGAAGCTTCAAAAGACAGTGTATACACATTAATTATTGTAATTATTCAAGCTACTTTCCCTTAAGGCCACCATATTTATAAGCCAAAAGGGCATTCTTAGCCCACTCTGACAATTAGTATCTGATAAATGATGCTACTGCCACACTTCTAATATAATGATTGATCATTTCCAATTAATTCCTGAGTAAAATCAATGGTTCCTTCCTGGAGCATTTACATTAACTAATTTATGTTAATATGAATACCCTATACCTACAGTTCACTAGAGAAGATGGGCCATTCTATTTATAACTGGTAACTACTTTAGAGCTTTGGTCTAGTTTCAGAGCTCAAAAGAATGTATAAAAGAGCTATAAAGATGAAGTAAAATTGGGCAATCTAACCACAGTAACTAAATATTGACATTGGTTTATGTTTATCCAACTCAAATGCAACAAAGAAGTGTTGGGAGGTTTTTCAGATTGGTTGTAACTTAGAAATGTTACAATTATTTTGGGGACCCACCCTTTGTTTGGATTTGTACTCCTTGTAGCTACTACTAACATGACTTATGTTTCATAAGGACATGACCCTAAAGGTGATGCTCTCATCAAATGTTTGCGCCTTCCTATTCTTTTGTTTACTCCATTTCTACGCATTCATAAATATTAATCAACTACTTAACGTATGTCAGTATTGAGTGAGGGCCTTAGATGTTCAAGGAAAACAGAGACAATCATGGACTCCCTGAGCTTATACTTTAGAGGAAAAGATGGACACACACGAACAATACAACTATAATTAATAGGAAAATGGGTGGTCTGAAGGAAAATAACAAGGTGAGATATAGTTAGATACAGGCATTACAATGAGAGAATGAAATTAAGCTGAGAAGTCAAGTACCTGGGTGCTAACATTCTTGGCTGAAGGGATAATGAAAGTACAGGTTCTAAGATGGGTAAAAGCTCAGTCTGTTCCAAGAACTGAAAGAAGTCTGGAATTTTTGGAGTCTACTGAAATTGGCTTAATATAGAATAGCTTATCACTGAAAACAAACAGAAGTGCGGGGAGCAGTCTGTGAGCTGACAAGGGTCCTCACAGCCTGTGGAACAGTTCAGGGAATGTTCCACCCCCACTGATCCAAGAAAAGAATAGCTGAAGCCGCAGGAGCCTCTGCAAAGTGCATAACAAATGTGATCTGCTCATGCACTCTGAGAAGCGCATAACAAGATGTAACTTACTAAAGTCTAACCCGATAAACAGACCCCCTGCAGCTGCTTACTGCTCTCTGCAGCTGCTTGCTACTATATAAGCTTTCTGCAAAAAAAAAAATGTGGCCATTGCTCCGCCATCAGCCGTCAGTGGACGTCCCGATCCCAGTTTTTGTTTTTGTGTCTTTCTTTTCTAATCTCCCACCCAGTCCACTCCAGTAGCTTCGGTTGACGAGCGGGTCTGGTCACAGAAGGTGAAGTGTGGGTATAGATGCTAGTGTAGATATATGTAGTGGTCAAGTTCGTGTTAAGTTCTCTTCCAGTTCAACTTTCTCAGTGAAAGTGACTGAGAGTCCACTACTTGACCTGTTAGATGGTGAGTGGGTTGTAGAGGTGTAATAGAGAAAGCAGCTAATTGCTGTGATCTGGCAGAGATGGGATGGATGGGTGACCATATAAATTATCAGCCAAACCAGGAAATTTTAGAGAAAAAAAGGGGCACTTTTATTAATCATGCCAGGACAACAGGCATAATTCAAATCTGTCCTGATCCAACAAGAATTTACTCATATATGGTCACCCTAGCCTATACTAAGACGATGAATGGACATGGAGATAAGGGGAATTATGTTGTTGGAATGGGTGTGAGGATTTGGAAAGAGGAAGAATTCAATGCTAATTCCCAGGTTTCTGGTTATTTACTGAGAAATACATGGGAATAAACAGGCTTATGTGGGGATATTAAGAATTCTGTTTTGGATGTTTGGTTTGAGATGTGCGAGACATTTAAATGGGGATATTTGTCCTGAGGCTGCAATGAGAGCTGTGGACTGGAGATATAAATTGTGCAATTGGCAGCACACTGGTAACATTTAAAGCCATGGAAATGGATGAGATCACATGGGATCAAAGTGTACACTCAAGAGAAAGCAGACTTAAACTCTGAGAAATCCCAGGAAAGGTTGACTAGGGGAGGAGTTAGCCAGAAAATGAGACTGAGAAAAAGTTACAAATGTAAAAGGAAACTAGGATAAAGTGGTAACACCTAAGTTATGACAATAGAATTTCAGGCCTAGTTTCCAAAAGGGAGTGGTCAAAAGGTCTAATGTCGTTGAGAGGTCAAGTACGTTCATACCAGAAAAGCGTCCTTTGAATTTGGCCTCATGGAGTTGATTGGTGACTTTGACAGGGCTTATTTCAAAGGAGTATTACAGAAAGAAATTTGATTGCTGTGAGTTAAAAGGAAAATGAGGACTTCTACTTCTGGCAAAGTCTTGACTATATGTTCAGTAGGGCCCAACTGTTACATTTAAATTCTCTATAAAACATAGTTCTAATGCTTATGTTGGAATTTCAGGAAATAAAGGAAATTTCCAGGTTCCCCACCCTCCCCCATCTGCCCCCACCCACCCCACGCCAATACACATCTATCTCCAAAAGCAGAGATGTGAGCAGCATGCAAATAGGATTTGGGAACACAAGGTAGGGAAACTGAAGCCAAAACTTGTATTAAGCCAGGAGCCTCGCCAAAGCGGCCCTAGTGTTCACTACTTTGACGGAGGCAATTGAAAAATGCCCTCAGGAGGAAGAATACCCTCGACACCCAGGTTTCCACAGATTAAAATCAAATGTGTGTCATGTCACTGACAAAAGGAATTGCCTTTATTCTTGCATTAATGACAAATGCAATTAAAGGATGGTCTACATAGATTAGAGCTAGAAAATGGAATCAGGCCACAGGAAATAAGAACTTGCTAGTGTTATCTCTGGAACATCCAGAAAAGTGTACTTGCTAGTGGAAGAGTTTACTCCAGGTTCTACTACAGAATAAAACATTCTACAAGATTATTCCATGCTTTTACTCTATTTCTGGAATTAGAAATTAGCTTTCTAAATATCAATGTTTCCCAAAGACTCTTACTATCAACTAACCTAGATATAAACAAAAATATCTTGATGAAATCAAAGTTATAACCCTCTAACAAAAATTAAGTTGCTCTTAAATTTGGTGATTGGGAATCACGCTGCCACATCTGGTAAGCTGGGTAAACTCACAAAATTAGGTTCCTATGCACATTAAACAAAAATTCTAAACAGGATAGCCACCAAAGAAAAAAATAAAGAAACTTAACTATTTTAGTCTAAATACTTCATATCAGATGAGGCAACTGTAACACCAAAGTTGTGATTTATTAACCTAGTCAATGGCAGAAGCAGCACTAGAATCTGGGCCTTCTAACTCAGAAGTCTGCTGATTCTTTTACCAATGAATGCTAAATTAACATCCAAAGACATATATTTGTATTTACTGCACTTTAAATAAGTTTTTTTCCTTGTGCTTAAGTCAATGCTTTAAATTACTGTTTGTTCTTTAGATTTCAGAGTAGTAATTTGTAGAAATGAGAAACAAACTTTTTGAATAAGAATTTTAATACTGAGGCTGGTTAACTGGTTAGTGGATTATGTTATCAAGGCCAAAGTCAGGTTTAAACTCCAAATAGGCCAATTAGTTTTTCAAATCATTTCTGACAACACATGTTGTTGGTTAAAAACTCTCCATTGGGGGGAAGGGAGAGGTGGGGCTAAAACGAAACTAAACAAAAACCTACACAAGTAAACCATACTGGCAGGGAAAAAAAAGTGTCTTGTCACTTGAAAGCTGCTTATTCTTTATAATTTAATACATATATAGTCACAGGATGTGGAGCAGAGTGGGAATGGAGTCAATGGAATTGTAATAGATATGGATGATATGGGGGGTGGGGGTGGGAGGGCAGTAGATGAGGGGAGGGGAGTTGTCACTTCGTGAGGGGTGAAAAGGAAAACTATTGCATTGTTTTGTACACCTGAAACATAATAATAAAAAAATAAAGCTGCTTATTCTTTCAAAAGTACTTTTCAGCATGCTTAAAAATGGACCTTCTAAAAAGCAAACTATTAATTCCACGGCTTTAAAGACACTTCCAATGTTATCTCCTCTATCCAGAAAATCCATGGCACCACAAGCCAGTTACTTTACACATTTATAATTGTTAAATTATAATTACACCTATTATAGATTAGCACATAAAGTAATATCTTGGACATAGATTTGATGGGAACACTGGAATTTTAGTTTCGTAAACCATATATTCAAGTAATCAAGTGACAGAACACTGCCCATAGAAAACTGGGGCCTGGGCTGCGACATGAAACGTGTTATTTTCCCAAATGGAAGATCATGCACCACTCCCAAGAGCTAACAGCAGGTCTGTCCAGATACTAAGACCAGGGACTTGGAAATCTCCGTCTTGCGCCTTACAGGACTCCAGGGCACTTAGAACTTCATCTTTCAGAGGTGAAGGGGCCCGACAGAGGCTTTGGAACCTGCCGTACAACTCCTCCCAGGGCACATCTTGGGAATCAGCTCCAACCCAAACGCCGTTCTGAAGATCATAGTGCAGGTGTCGACCCCAGTTTGTCAGCAGACCCAGATAGACCTGGAAAAGGTCTGGATGGCGGCCTGCCACCGAAGTTAAGAGCCCGGCTGGGAGATGTCGGCAAAATGTAGCCATGATATCCGGCTTCCTCAGAAGCCAACTGACCAGCTCTTGACTCGCCTCCCCCGGTGTTTTGGGGCTGCCCAGTTCCAACTCCTCTTTGGGGGGCTGGGGAGATGACGACGGCAGCAATAGCGCGGTTGCTATCACCTGCAGGAAGTTGTTGTGAGGCAAGCGCTCCCCCAGGCTGCTAAGAAACCTGCTGGGGCCCTCCGCCTCGGCCCTGCTGGCCTCCTGCACACGCTGCAGCAGCAGCTCTGCCTGAGTCTTGATCACCGAGTCCTCCGGAAGGACCGAGTTCTCTCCATAGCCGTTCAAGCGCAGCATGTGGACAGCGGACCGGCTGCGGGCGAGGAGGGCCAGGCTGCCTTGGAGCGTCTCCTCTTCGGCGTCCGGGACGCCAGGGCCGGGAAAGAGTTGCTGCAGCAGGCTGTGCAAGGCGGCATCCCCGAGGGCCGGGTTCTCCAGCAGTCGCTGAGACAGCAGGAGGTCGCAGCGCTCCAAGGCCCGGAAGTTTGTCAACCCGGGGACTGAAGCGGGCCCAGAGCCGCCCACCTGCCTCCACTGGTTTTGCAGCCGCCGTTCCAGAGCTGTGCGAATACTGACATGGCGGCCAAAGCGCCTGTGGATATGGCGCAGGTAGCGAGCCCACTCCAAGGCCCTGCGCACGGTGGCGGGGTCCCAGCGGCTAACGTGGGTCGAGCGGGAGACGGCCAGAACCTCCGAGAAGCGCTCCAGGTACTGCAAGAGCGAGTCCATGGGGGCGCGCACGGGCCGTACTTCCGCCTTCGCAGCTCTCTGCTCGCCGATTGGAGTGTCCGTGAAGTGATACGCCTATCTACAATTCTATTGGACAAAATCGCAGTCAATCTGACAACGCGGCTTTAATCCGGGTACCCTGACTCTGGGAAATTTAAACTGGAGAAGTGGCCCGACTGTTTAACTGTTGGGGCGGGGAGGTTAAGTGTAGGGCATCCTGGCGAGAATTCCAAGAGCCACGTGCAATATGCTAGTAGTCACAAAAGTCTCTGTGTCTCCTTTCGCTTTGGAAATAATCCTTAGAAATTTCCTGAGTTTTGCCTGAGAGAATCTGTGTCGAGGTTTATCATAACTGGGTAACGCCAGAGACATATAAGAAAATGTTACTAAATAAATTTTAGTTCAGTTCAGTTTAGTAAAAATGCCCTGACTACAATTAATTAATGCCGGGCACTATGCTAAAGTCTGGACCTTGACGTTGTTCTTTCATCATTAGAACTGAAGTCCAGGTTAATTGAAACAAAAGTAAATTTAAAGATTAGTACTTCATTAAAATTTTAAAGGAACTTAAAATTTTATTTCAGAATTACACTATTATTTTGTTTTCATAATTTCCAAGACAAAATAGCTTAGTTGACTTTTATTTCACACAAATAACTAATTGAGAGAAATGGCATTTAAAAGCATATAACACAAATGCCTGATTAAAGATTGTGGGAAGGGTGAAGACAAGAAGGACCCCGTCCTGAACTGTCATCTGCATTAGCCACTCATTTATCTATTCAACAAATATTTATTTGCCAACTCTAGGAGTCCCGTTGTACAAAAACTCACAATTTCTAACTTGCTGAAGTTGATGACATATGTAATAACTCATCTGAGTTCAATTTCTTTCCAATCCTGAAGACAACAACAAAAACTGTTCCAATAAGCATTGAGAATTGGTGTTATTTTATTTTGCTTTAACAAAAAAGGAGAAGAGAAATTTCAGAGGGGAAGAGTAATTTTCCATTTATTAAAATAAACATTGCCACATCTTTTAAAAAACAAGCAAGCAGTGGTGCTTGAGCTTAATGTAATTTTATTATTTAATACTTTCAGTAAGCCCAAATTCTTATTTGGTCCTGAAGTAGTTACTTGATTTTATCTTAAGGGTAAAATTTTATCATAAGGATAGCATATATCCTAAAATTCTTTTAATTAACAACTAGAAACTTTGTGCAGTCTACCTTTAGCTAATGTACAGACTTCATTAATTGATTCATCTATTCTTATGTTGAGCAGTTATTATGTTACATCGTATATGATACTGGAGATTTAGTGGTAAATAAATAAATGCAGTCCTTGTCCTAGTGAAGGAGTTCATTTCCTAACATTGAAGAGAGAAATTAAATAACCTCAACTATGATGGCAGGATATACTGGAGGTGGGACTTAGATGATAAGGAAGGCCTCTTTAAGAAACTAACTTTTCAGTTAAAAGCTCAAAGATGAGTGTTGAGTTTTTAAGGCCAAGAAACAGTTAACTTGCAGGTACATGAATTGAGAGAGCGTAATCCTTTCAAGGAGGTGAACAAAATCCAATAAACCTGCCTTCAGTTCAGGATAACAGTGAGACATAATGGCAAGAATTGTGTAGATTCACTTTAGCTTCATATCATTTCACTTTGTAAAATTTTTATTGTAAGTTCTCACTTAAGCATTACAATGTATAAATTTATAAATATTTCACCTAAGCCTCTTTTCATTACATAAACAATGTCTATGAAGTTTTCCCCTTTACAAGAAAGAAAGCCTTTACAAGAAAGAAAATTCTCTGCAATGTTCCATTTAATTCAACAAAATTCAACAATCATTTATTAAGCTGCTACTATATGTAAAGTATTAAGGATTGAAAGGTAATTATGACAAGGCCCTTCGCTTTAAGAAATTTACATTATTGAGGCAGGGGTAGAGAGGAGCACAGAAACACTTAACTATATGCGAATCAGATTTTAAATGTTTTTTAAATTGTAAGAATGATGCTATGAAAGACCAGATGTAAACAGACAGGAGAGTTCTAGGAAGGTTTTACAAAGGATTGCTACTTCGTTTAGGCCTTAAACTGAACAATCACAGAATAAAGGAAAACTCAAGTAAGAGAAATAACATAAGGTAAAGCATATAGTGCGTCCCTCCTCAACCCCATCTGTGGTTTTTGCTTTCCTTGGTTTTAGTTTACCTGCAGTGAAACACGGTCTGAAGATATTAAATGGAAAGTTCCATAAATAAGTAATTCATAACATTTTAAATTGTGTGCCATTCTGAGTAGCACAATGAACTCTCCTGCAGTCCTGCTCAGACATGCCCAGGACACGAATCATCCGTTCGTCCAGCGTACCCACTCTGTGTATGCTGTCTGCCCATTAACCACTTGGTAGCCTTCTTGGTTATCAGATCCACCATTGCAGAATCGCAGATCTTGTGTTCAAGTCACCCTTATTTTCCTTCAACACGTCCCCAAAGTGCAAGAGTAGTGATGCTGACAATTCAGATGTGCCAAAGAGAAGCCGTAAAGTACTTCCTTTAAGTGAAAAAGTGAAAGTTGTCGACTTAATAAGAAAAGGAAAAAAATGGTATGCTGAGGTTGCTACAGTCATTCATCTCACTTCATCTTATTGCATAGGCATTGTGTCATCTCACATCATCACAAGAAGAAAGGTGAGTATGTAATACGATAGGATATTTTGAGAGACCACATTCACATAACTTTTATTATAGTATATTGTTATAGTTGTTCTGTTTTATTATTAGTTATTGTTAGTAATCACTGTGCCTAATTTAAAAATTAAATTTTATTATAGGTATGTATGTATGTATAGGAAAAAATAGTGTATATATAGGAGTCAGTATCACCCATGGTTTTAGGCATCCACTGGGGGTCTTGGAATGCATCCCATTCAGATAAGGGGGGACTTCTATATAAAGACATGAATGTATATAGTGTGTGTGCTATGAATAGCAGTACCAACCTCCCACTCTTGGTTAGGATTTCTGAATTCCTAGGGTGCAATAAATTAAGACAGAGAATGGAAGGGCAAATGTCAGGAGATTTTATTAAAATATGGTATCAGTCAAACCATAGAAGTTAAGCATCATAAACAATGAATGATCAGAAAAAGAGACTTTCACAAATAGCCTACCTCATACGATTCTGGTGAAGATTAAATGAGATAATAAATGTAAAATGACATTCTTGATATCATGGTTAGTTACCTTTTAATATTTATTCTACCATCACCCCCACTCTCTTTGATGCAATTTGGGATACTGACTTCAGCTCAGCTCCAGGGTTTAGGGCCTGATAAGTTTAGGCCAATCATTTTAATCCACCCTTCTCATAATTCAGTAAAATATTAATTTAGAAGCCCTATCTATTATAGCATTTTTGATGATGGAAATTTGTTGAGAAATGCCCAGGTGAATCAGTTCCAATTAATTAGGCCTAGATGATTCAAAGAATATGTTTCTTACTCTTCAAAGTCTGTAGAGCATGAACGCTGACCAGTATGAAGAGATAGTTGTTAATAGGCTGTGTAGGTTTATTCAAGCTGAATATTTAGGTATGCTTAAGTGATAGTTTCTTCCTCTCAATGTTGTTATATGTTTATATAAAGCCCAAAACTGAAACAGCCATCTCCTTCCCAGAGCCAAAAGAATTTCAGAACCACAAAGAGTACATTAAATTTATACAACCCTCAAACTAACTGTTTTTAAGAGTATAACCTTATATAGTCACCATTTTTTAAAGCCAGTTTCAGTTTTATTTTCTGTTGTTTTCAGCTAAATGCACCCAAATATAAGCTCTTTGGAACCCTGCATGGTACATATAAACACTTAATAAACATCAGTTGTTGTTGTCAATATTATATAAGTGCCTGAAGTATACATTTTTCTCATGTCTTCTCCAAATTCCACTCCTCCCAAATATAAAAGAGCAACCACCAACATCATGATGGGCAGTGTTGGAGAAAACTTTATTTAAAAAGATGCAGCTTGCTGCTCTCATTTACTCTTGGTTCTGAGAGGTTTCTAATACAATCTCGTTCAATGAACTACTAGGACTTGAAAAATCAAGTTGATTGTACGTGCTAGGCTAGGCCTAAATGGCTGGTTATTTTAAGACATGAATAAGCTGCAAATTGTAGGAAACTGCAACTGTGAGACCAATGAAAACAAAGTGTTCTATGTCCTTTTATTCTAGTCTGAACAATATTATATTCACATATGAGTTTCAGCCCTCTGCTTTTTGAAATAATATTTTCCTATACGACGGTTGTGGGTGCCACATCTTCAGGCAAGGAAGACATAGAAGAATTTTTCCCTCATCCCAGAAACTGCTTCATGGGAGGAAAATGTTTTGACCTGTTTACAATCATTCTGAGGGCAAATATTACGGGCAATGATTATACCTGATCCTGACTCCATCACCTGATTCAAGACAGGGGTTAGGGTAGGTCTCTCTATATTCTCTAATAGTATCGCAACAATAAAGGGGAAGCTGGCACAACTTTTGAAGAGAGATTTCACATAGAAACTTTGCAAACATGTTTGTCATTTCTTTGTGACCATGCAAATTATGTTTCTGAGAAAGGGGAATATAGATCCTAGTGGGATTTATTTCAGTTAAATTAAAATGTCTTCATTACATTTGTTTCCCTTACAAAAGGGGGGAAAAACCATCAGATGACTTATAATGGATAGAGGACTTTAGGCATGTATAGGGGAATCTGACTATTAAGTTTCCAGGAACAAATGGTCTTGTCTTGCATCTGTGGTTATTATCACTAGTCCCTGATGAGACTGTAGAACTCCACACCAGATCTCAAAAATATTAAATTTATATGCCATGTTTACCTTTCCTACCTTTAGAATTATTTTCAGAAAGCTAACGGACTGTAAACAAATATTTGTCTGGGTTCTGAGCTTCCCAAGCAGTGTACAGCAGAAAGGGTTACAATGATATGCCTGAGATATGGATTTCCTTTGGCTTTGGGG